GAGGAGGAGGAGTGGGGAAACATGGAGGTTGTGGAGGATGGAGGAATAGTGGGCTGACTGGACACAAGTGCTGACAGACTGGGACGGGTGGAGATGGATGGAGTGATGGAGGAGGGAAACATGGCGGTCGTGGAGGACAGAGGAACGCTCGACTGAGCGGACACAGGCGTTGATGGTGGAGGGAGAACACTGGTGGTAGCTGGGGGGTTACAGTTCATAGCTTTGCCAGTTTGAGGGGTGGTGTCAGTGGGCAATGGAAAGGTGGAGGTGTGAGCAGGAGGAGTAATGGAAGTGGAGGAGCTGGATAAGGGCGTGCACGAAGGAGAGGCACGGCTGGTTGGAGCGCCTGGGGCATTACAGGATGGGGGGAGGGGCCTGTTGGAGGTTGCAGGAGAGGTGGTGGTTGGAGGGAGAGCGTGACTGAACTGACCCGATGGGGAACTCGAGGGCGGAGACCGAGGATTGACCGAATCCTGAGCGCCGACCTGATGGTGAGTGAGGAGGTTATAAAGGGTTAGGTTGGGCGAAAATTTGCAAAACGAAGATGAACTTGACTGTGAGGATGGAGAAGGTGTAGCAGCACAGTCATTAGGAACAGGTGTAGCACTGGAACCGGCCGTCTCCGTTTGGGGGCCGGGGTGGAGACAGGTGGAGGGAGACGTGAAAGAAGTGGAGTCTTGTCCATGTTGGGGGGCAGAGGAGGATGTAAACGGCAGATTAAGCGAATGAGAAGCAGAGGCGCTGTCCATCACGGTGCTGGAGATGGGGTTGCAGGTGGAGGTGGGAGGAGGGGCAGCAGGAGTCGCCGGAGCTCCTGTGTTTTTATCCAAGGTTGGTGGCACAGCGAAAGGGATCCACGAAACATGAAGGTTACCTGGAAACCGAAACAATGGAGGAGGAGGGTGCAGCGATTATTTTCTCTCGATTAAACTACATCCAAACTCAAACAGCGTCAACATGAACTCTGAGCTCGTGGACAGAACGCACAAACCAAACCGGCACATAAAATGATTCGGTTTGGTTTTCACGCGTACGGTCGAGCGTCCGCTGCAAAGCTGAAGACACAACGTAAACAAACAGATACACGAGCGGACTTACAAAGCTCAGAGAGGGTTTCCTCGTAACCCAGCTTGGTAATGAGCTTCACTTCAGGCATTTTCAGAGGGGGGTCTGAGTCCTGATCTAGAAGCTCCTTCATCTGGGTTTTAATCTGGAAGAGAAAACAAAGCCGTCTGCGCTCTACGTCACCAGATTAACGTTTTCTGCAGAACTTCTGTTTATTTGCAACAGTGTTGTGTTGTGTTTTCAAAGATTTTTATAAACAATGATTATCTGATATGATTGGGGGACGCTCATAGGGATCCTTGTGCATGATGTGCGAAACGTCCCTTTTTAGGGGTTTGAATCTTTGCTAAGGTAGGAAAGCCTGGCTTTGATGGACTTTAGTCTAACTCTGTGGGGACGTACCAGTGAGGACTGGCTCCTCCCACAGTTTCGCATCTACAGCAGACATTAGTGAAGATGGGCGACATCCATGAACATGGAAACAACTCCAGTCTCTGTCTTTGCTTCTAATTGTTGTTGTTAGATTTCTGTCATGACTGTTCATGTATGATTTACATGTTTAACCCTTTAAAGCCG